AATCTGAAAGATACTACCCGAGACTCACCAGGGAGGCCATCGAAATATTTAAACACCAAAACAATTTCAACAGAAAAGAAGAAATTACGGCACTCAATCCAGATTGGAAGCGCGTTTTGCGCCAAACAGCATGTGCGCCGAAGCGTTGGAACCCCCACCCATCCCCCACGCATGAGCACACACGGCTGGGCTGCATAAATACGACGGGAAATCCAGCAGTTGAATCAGTCTTAGTCGGAAAGAACGGGAGATCACTTCGCCCGCTGCCTAATCGCCTTTGATAATGTCCACCGCAGTTGTGGACGAAACGTCAGAAAGAAATTCCGATAGACCACGGCTTCAAAGCCCGGAAAACATTCCTAAATGTAGTCCTTCACTAATTGTTTGAAGAGAAATGTAAAAGTAATTTATGACAAACCATTTTTAAATTCCTTTAATTTATGTAAAAACATCCCTGGGACTACTAATACGACCCTGGCACTCTTTGCCGATGACGCAGCCCTCCTTGCGACATCAAGGAGCAAAGAATGCGTAAGGCGGAGACTTCAGCTCGCAGCTGATGAACAACACGAGTGGTTTACTAAGTGCAAGGCAAAAATTCACCCAGGCAAAAGTCAAGCCCTCCTCATTGGTAGGAGGCGGTACAGCGTTGATGGAAATATCAGCATCGATGAGGTGGACGTCGAGTGGAAACAAGAGGCGAAGTATCTAGGTATCATCTTGGATAAGCAGCTTACCTGCAGGAAGCAGGTTCAAACATCTATCAATAAGTCCAAAGCTGTAACCAGCAAGCTCTACCCACTCCTCAACCGCCAAAGTCATATGAGCATTAAGAACAAGCTCCTGCTGATCGAAACAATTATCAGGCCCGCATTGGCGTATGGCTCTACGTCGTGGGGCTATGCGAGCGAATGCCACTTAAAAAGACTACAAGCCACGGAAAACAAAATTCTGTGAATGGCAGTTGACGCGCCTTGGTTCGTACGCAACAGCCAGATTTACAGAGATCTAAAATGGGAACCAGTCCGCGACTTCATAGCCCGAAAAGCAGTAGCGGACTTCCAGAAAGCGGAAAACCACTGCAATGAAGATCTTCGCTAGGAAAAAAAGGCCCAGGCACCAGCTGACCCAACAGGGCAACAGGCAAACGGTGCAAACCGTAGCCTGCAACCATCAAGTGGTTTAGCTTAATCAGCTTATTTAAGTTAGCAAGATGCCCACACCAGGCATGGAGCCTATGTGGAGAGAATGAGATGCAACGGCATACGGGTGCCAGAGCCGAAACAAATTTTATACGACTGCATGTTTTGAAGGATTTCCTGGAAACTAGAGCGCAAATGGGGGTTCTTTAGTTGGTAAAAATCCAACACTACCCGGTATTGCGGGATACCGGGTGTCTTCGTGAAGATTTTTATCCTCCAGACGCCGGGCAAACAAAAAAAAACGCTCAGTATAAAATTAAAGAAATTTCAAATCCTCTACCGCCCGTACAGCAAGGACCAAGTTACATTATAACCAACTACCATCACGTTTTCTACCATATAAACTTAACCAATATTAAGCAAAGTTTGAGACTAATTGAAAAAACTCTTTTGCAAATAAATCAAACAATTGATAAATCACAACCACCTATGTACAATCTTTTAGCTACTAGAACTAGTAATTTACTAAATCAAGTACATTCATTCAAAGACTTTATCACTCATTACACTACTAACACAAAACATAGAACTAAAAGAGGACTATTCAATTTTCTGGGAAAAACACAAAAATACCTATATGGAACATGCATGATGCAGATGATGGCGAACGTTATGACAATTATATTAAAGTCATTCAGGAAAATCAAAATACTTTACATGATGATATTTCCTCAACTCAAACCATTGTTAAATGCTTAATAAAGAACATTGATACCCAGCTGTCTAACATAAAGTCAAATCAGCAAAACCTGCAAGAACGCTTGAACAACCTAACACAAATGACTCAGTCTACGTCAACAACTATTTACTTAGTCATATTACTAGACAACTTGGAAAATAATATTCACATCCTCAATGAAATTCGCAACAATGTGCAAACTGCTATCAACTTCGCAGAAATTAACGTACTACATCACAGCATCTTAAAATACAAAGAATTGCGAGCGATTATACAGAAACTGAAACCAGAAACTCGAATTTCGTTTGACAATATAATCAAATACTACGAAACAGCTCAGACTGACGTAACTATAAAAAATGACCTAATGATTTTCTACATTGCAATCCCGTTGATACGATCCCTATACTTTATATCGAGTTTATCCAATCCCGATCAATAATCAAATAATAACCCTTACCTATCCATATCTATTAAAGTCTTCAAGCGATTTCTTTAATTTAAAGGAAAAATGTCCAAAAATTGAGAAAATATCTCTTTGTTTAGAGGAAGTTTTAAATTCAAACAAACCTTGTATAATGAAATCAATAAATCTAACAAATCATTGTCCAATGGTTCCAATAAATTTCAAGAAAACTTCAGTCACTCAATTAGAAGATAACTCTATTATAATAATACCAACTCAAAGTGAGAACATTCAATTTCAATGTCCAAATCAAAAATCGATTGAAATTATAAATCAACCATCATTGATTTTACCATCCGAATGTTCAACAAAAATAAAGGATAAAATGTATGAATCCCAAAACCCGGAAATCATCAGTTCACGGTTAAAATTACCAACTATTAATATTGATGAAAAATGGGTACAAGAATTTGAACCTTTACAATTAACAGAAATTAATTTAGATAATATTCATGAAGATTTAGAAAGAGCAAAACAACTAACTGTTCATCATTTAAATAAATTTGATGTTGTTAGCTCTAGCGTATCAATTACCTTAATATTAATTATTATTTGTATCATTATTGGAACTGTAATGTACTGTTACTATAGGAAATATAAAAGCAATGTAAAAGTGGGCATAAAACTAGAAACCCTCGAAAATCCACCCCAATTTTCTCAGACTTAATGACGGAGGAGTTATATGGCCATTTCCAATGATGCAATGTTAACTAGAACAACTTTGTCAAGTCAGCATCTATTTTCCTATTTATACGGCAAGGTTTGCGTATGCAAAGCAGTCATTAAGATCACTTGCTTGGTGTATGTTCCATGTAATTTCGTTTGTAAAATAAAGTTTTTAAAAAGCGAAGGTGCATAATTAAGAACAAAATTCTGAAATGGCTCGAAAATATCACTCTCAAAAGCTCTTTTTCATTTGCTTTTACGAAAGGTATGATCATTTTGACCATTTTCTATCTGAATTGGGCCAGAGAAAAATTTAAACATATTAGTGCTCTTCAAAGTCCTGGACCGAGTTCAACGTCTGTCTGATTCGTTTTCTTTTGTGCACAAGCAGCGTGGTGGTTTTTGTATGCAGTTGCAGCTTGAAACCTTGAAAACTACGCACAGGCTGTGGTAAAAACCGTATGCTGAATGAAACACTTCCACATACAGAAACAATATGCGAGTAACAAGCTTTTAAAATTATTATCTGTAGCAGTTTTCACAATCTTCTAAGCTCGAATACACATTTTTGGAACGAATTAAAATTCTGATAATCAAAAAGCCATTTAATATTAAAGACACATTTATTTATCAATTTGTATTTACTAAACTCAAAATGTTAACACAAATATCAATTTTATAAAAATATAGGTTGAATTAATAAAACCTTCGACATTTTGTAAACTGAATATTTCTACGGTGCTTTATATTGTAATCATTTGCATTTTAAGCAGGGAAACATCTACGTTGTAAAATACGTGCTATCAGTATTTTAAACATATTGCAAACCTCGTAATACAAAACCGTGTTGTCAAAATTTTATACAAAACGCATGCTATGTTTACAAATCGCACCCTAGAAAATTTAATAAATTTCTAAAAAATAAAACGATCAAAAATAACTGTGAGATAACATCCTCAATTCCCTAAAATTTTACACAATAGTTGAAATAGACTACGTCTTATGCAATTATGTATATACAATGTGTACATTTAAAAATAATTGTTATATTTATGACACAAAATAACAAGAGCACTTTAGTTTTGCATATTTAAATTATTCGTATCATATGTATGATTCACACATACGTGTCATATGCAGTGATAGGGTAATTTTACATTTGAATCAAAAATTTCATATACACATTTAATTTTTATCCCATTAAAGGATTAAGCGCGTTTTTTTTGGTTGCTATTAATTTGCCTATTTAGGAAGTTATGTGATTTAGTTAGTTTATCATGAAAAAAAATTCTGAAATGTAATATTCAATGTACACGTTTATTAGAGCAGACGATCCTCATTACTACCTGAATAAAAATGTCCCCTACCTTTAATTTTTATTATTGAAATATAATAGTTTTTCGAGGCTTGAGGTCGGGGTGTTTATCGATTACTCCAGACCCTGGTGTCAATTGATCTTCTAGATATACCTATATATTTTATTGAACAATTTATTAATGCAATTATAATTATATTTTTCCTGTTAAAATAATATAGTTATTTATAAACTTTAGATTGCATTAACTTTTATCAGTTCATCTCTATGCGATTTTTGAATTTATGTGTAGTTGGACTAATCGATTCTTCGTCTATCAACTGTGAAATGCTTGTATGTTGTGCCAGCTTTCAGTTGAATTAAGTTTTTGTTCAGCCACCGTATCTGTACACAATATCTGCGAGATCATTCATCAACAGCTTTATAATTTTAGAAATATTTAACATTTGTTAATTGAGGTATTAGACAAGACATTAGAAATTTTTTTAATCGAAAATAATATTTAAAAGTGTTATGGAATGTATTAAGAAATCATGATCTGGCAACTATCTTGCATTGAGTAACACTGTTATACATACATGTTATTCTGTATCATACAGCTTATGATCAGTCAGTTACTGTTCACACGTACTTATTGTTTATACGTTCTTCTTAAATTTCTGAACTTAATATTTGATAGCTTTCCAATGTGCGAGGGCCCGAACTCTGACTCTTATTGTTGGCAAACGATAGCTGTAAAACAGTAAATCACATAACTTGAAATGCGTCTCTATTTACTTACTGTTGAATTAGTTATGGATCTTGCGCTAATGGATTCGGGAATGCTAATCTCAGACATTTCCACATTTCAGACTTAACTACTTTCTGTGTCATTACTTTACGATGTTAAAAAAATAACTAAGGACCCTGCATAGACCAAATATACCTGGTTATATAATATAAACATTATGTTACAGATTTTTTTGGTTCAACGTATATATTTTTTTATTTAGTGACTTGATATTTATATTTACATTGTATAAATGTCTATTCTTAACTAATATCTGGTTTAAGTGTAATTTATATAGCTTTTTCATAGTTTGTTAATTTCCTGAATCTTACATGTGGTGGTTATCTATATAATTAAGTTTGTTTTTAATACGGAACATCCAACATCCATTTATATGGTTTATATAAAAACGGTATGGTAACATATTTGAATTAATATCACAAAATCAGCTAAAGCATTATGGACATTTTATGCAGTTTTAGGCCAATTTGGAATTTTTACATACACTAATTTAATTTTCTTGCAATCTTAATTAACTACATGTTTTATTTTATTTGCCCTTTAGTGTTAGCTTTTGAATTTATAAACATATTTTTTGGATTTTTTATTTAATTAAGTTACTTTATATGAGCACACTAAAATGTATTTTTCATATCTATAGAAATATATAATATCTATCTATAGTTCCCATGTTTCTTACGGTTTCACGATTAATTACAAAATTTCTGGATTCATACATCACATCAAAAAGTATGTTGTGAAAAATCTTATAACAAACAAAAGTTGAACAAATTAAATAAAACAGGTTGTAAGTATGGGTGAAGTAAAAAACAACTTTGAGTAGACTTTTGATTAACCATATCCTCCTTCTAAACTTTTTTCCTTTTCGATTATATGTGTTTGAAAGTATAAGCAGGCAGTGTCCGAATACATAATTTAAATAAAGTGTTGAAACGGACTGGAAAATGACAAGAATTCAGTGTTTCAGAATAATATGAAATGCCATAAAAATATGTTTTATTATTAATTAACTAAATTTAAGCCGCACGATCGGGTTATCGGCAGGCATTCAATAGGCCTTGTTTAATTTGAATAATCAATTTAGTTGGATACGTGGTATGTAAGAGCTGCCTGGCTTTATGCGAAAAATGAGTACTCATCTTTATATATAGCACTCTATTATAGTCTGTTCCGTATGATTGAACCTATGCTTTGTGCGGTCTGTGTTAAAAAAACGATGGTTTAATTACGTATTATACACACAAGTCAGGCCATCCCTACATTTTAAAGGATGCAGTACTTCTTTCTCATTTGCCGTTTTAAGACTAACTCAACGATTTTTTTGTTTCATTTTTATTTACGGCTAGATAGTTTGCTTAACATTGCAGTCATCTACAGTTAAATATCAATTCCTCGAGTTAAGTCAATGAAAAACGACTTTGAAGATATTATAGACAGATTTAAAGAAAGGGAATTAAATAACTTTTGAAAAGTAAAATAAGCAAAACAGGAATTTTAAATATCTATAAGTTTATAGACAGTATTTGCCGATTTATTGGTTAAATAAAATGCCTCAATTAATGAAATGTCCATATTATCTAGCCGCATTTTACAAACTTAGACCATTTCATGACCTAGGTCTAATTAACGTCGTAGGTTCCCGAATAAAGACTGTTTTTAAGTGGATTTCTACTGAAATGAACTGCTCGCAAAGTAATAATGTTACTAAAGAGCGTTTGGTTAACTTAAGCAGGTTTGCAAAGAAATGGAAAATTTAAAATCTGAAGTGAGTTCGGAGTTCGTTAAGCACAAATGCTCTCTTTAACATTCTTAATTTGGTAACAATTTCATAATTGCTATTTTCAACATTGGACGTTCATGCATATAGCTGAAACGAGCCGAATAAAATTTTGAACTTGTATTTGACGATTCAAACTTTAGATGAACTGGGATAGCTAGTTATGAACTGTTTTAAGTGTTAAAAATATAAACTGCTTAAAATGTCCACCTCTTGATATAATATTTTTTTTTGTGATTTAATACATAGGTACAAAAACAACACTGGCATACTCAAAAGGAGTTCCAGTGCAGTGTGGGGTTTTACAAAGTTATTTACACTCTAGGAATTGTTTGCAGGTGGGTAGTCTAGCAGGCCGTTCGCTCGGTTTTCGGTTTCATCAATTTATGCCCTTCTGAACTATCTGAGTCGCTGCTTTCACCGTCGCTGACTGACACAACGTTATAATTGCAAGTTACTTTTGGTTTTTTTATCGACACTCTGCTGTACCCTCGTTGATTGGCTTGGGCAGTAGTTCTCTGAAAAGAAAGATTAACCAGTTATTGACCTCGAAACAAACAACTATTGATTGTGAAAGTGAAATTGAAAGCAAACACAGTGTTCGATCGAGCAACAAAATTCTCACAGATTCTTAGAAGATTCTTATGAGGGCTCACCTAATTCATTGCTGCATTTTCGTGGAATATACAAGGAATACACGTGAAGAAGGAGCATTGTTTTAATCACGTATTCTAGATCCAAAAATAACCTTAGTTTGGAATATAATTGATCACTAAAAATGCTTCGTTACGGATTTACAGGGTGTTGAAACTAATGGAAATGGAAATATATTAACGAAACTTTTTAGGCATTAATATCTAGGAGAGATGCACGTTTTGCAATAAAATAATTTTGTTAAATTTTACAATTTCCATTTGATAAAGAAAAAAATAATACGCCACTGTATTTTTTAATTATTACAATTACTTTTCAGATTCCTTGTTTTATTACAAATTAAAAATACCCCCTTTTGCTATAAAAGCGGTTAGGATTCTAAAGTAAGATATGTGGTAGGTGGACCAAATTGGCAACATTTAATTAGGAACCAAAGTTTTTATTGGACTAGATAAAAACTGAGCTCATCTCATAAAAAGAGTCGATAAGTACAAGTTTCAACACTTGTAATTCTGTGTCTTTATTGATAGTAAAACAGTCTACCTTTTAAAATATTTACAAAATTTAAGCTATTGATCCCTGGAAAATTTCGTTAAAATATCTCGTTGATATAGCAGTAGTAGTATTGGGGGTGGAACCGATGGTTCCGGTGAGTAGGACTTAAAGGCCCTTTTCTTCATTCCCCCTCCATCCATCCCCACCTTACAAAGGCAGGGATCCGTCTCCAATCCAAGGAAGACAATTCGATGCGGTAGAGTGTAGAGTGTGGAGGCTCCTTCACACTCTCCCGCATCGCTCTAGTAGGCGATCCGATATTGATGTTTTCTCTCGCCCTGGGTAACTCAGTGAATTTTTAGGAATTGGCGCAGTAAGGCGCAAATGGCTTGGTGCTCCAACACAACGCACCGGCGCAGTAACTCAGTTCCGTTGCTGGGAAAATGTCAATGACTTTTTTTTAACTTTTTTTAATTTATTTTAAAGGTCATTTATCAATAATATTTTAACATTTCTGCAAAATTACAGAATTTTCCAGTTTTAGCCAAGTTCCTCTTTCCCCTAAATGCTCAATTTTCTAAAGTTTCACTTAAAAATCCTGACAATTTTAAGGTAATTTCCGCAAAAAATTATTAAAAAAATTTTCAATTTTGGTATTTTTCCAAAAGTATTTTCGCCGAACTGAAAAAGCGAAAGTTTGTAATCATTTATTTAGAAAACTTTTGGAAACTGGGGTTTCTCCACTTTTAGATCAATATTTCTAAACAAGACTGTCTCTAGACAGAAAAATCGCGTTTTCTCAGCGTTTTACTGTAAAATACTACTGAATGTTTTCTGCAAAAACTTAGGAGATCGATTTTACAAGAAAACTCGTCGATTTTCTTTGGATTCAGTTCTGTTGCATCTAGATGACTTTCTTTTAGTTATTTGAACAAAGTAGTAAAACGTTACGCACAAAATGTTGATAACTTTTTTTCTGAGATGTGAAAATGCTTCATCTTCATCTTCAACATCAGTTCTTGAGGGAAGAAATCCTTCCTGCATTGACTTGGAAATCATTCGTTGTTCCGCTTATCTAAGTCAATTTGAATATAAATTAGCTTGTTGTGGCCAAAGGTGCCATGTCGCAATGTGCATAAAATGAGTGTGGTATCTCTTGCAATAAAAAGAAGTTATGGAAAATTAAACTTGACTGTCACAAAAGGCATATTATCCAAGAAAGTCAAATGAAAACCTCTATTTTTTTCTATTCAGATCGATTTAGTGACAAAAATTAGGGCAAGTTTACGAAAAGGTTTATGTGGCTAAGCGTAAGTTTCATAGCTATTTTCAAAAAGTTTCCGAGTTCTTAAAACGCATTTCCTTCTGGGAAACTATGTTACTAAAAATACAAGAAATTACACATTTTTTGAGTAATATTATATGGACGGGCAAATCGAAATTTACTAAAAATGTCATATTTAATAGACGAAACTTGCATTACTGGAGTAACGACAATAGCAATCCTATTCGCGAATGTAATTTTCAAGAAATTTTTAACTTTAATGTGTTTTGTGCTATTCGTAATAACGAAATTCTTCACGTCTATTTCTACAATGAAAATTTGAGGGGTTAGTAGTTAATAGTTGATTCTTGCAATTTGTAATTACTGTATGGATGTATTTAATTTCTAAGGGAAATTTATCTTAAAATATTTAATCCTGTAGTTCAACCCAAAATAAATAATGTAGAGCGGGACATTTTATGGTACCAACAAGATGGTGCGCCCCCTCACAGCACTTATGCTGTTTCCATAAAACTTTACGAAATTTTTGAAGATCGTTGGTTTGCCAATAACGGTCACTTTCAATGACCACCTAGGTCACCTGACCTTACGCCCATGGATTTCTATCTTTGGGGTCGAATTAAAGATCTTGTTAATGCTACACCATTAACGACCAAGGAAGATTGCATTGCAAGGGTGCGAAATGCCTTCAACTCTCTTTCCCCTGAAGAGATTCAAAGAGCTACAAATGCAGCTGTTACAAGGCGTGTTCAACAATGCCTTGCATCTAACCGACAACGTTTTGAACGTTTATTGTAATTAAAAATTAGACAGATAATAAATAAGTAATAAAAAATTATACTAAATTGAGACTTGTTTGAAAATAACTATGAAACTGTTACGTTTAATTACAAAAGTCCTTTCATAAATTTGCCTTAATTTTTGTCACTAAATCGATCTGAATAGAAAAAAATAGGGGTTTCCATTTGAATTTTTTGGGTAATATGCCTTTTTTGACAGTCAGGTTTAATTTTCCATAACCTCTTTTTTATAAGAGATGCAAAACTCATTTTTTGCACATTGAAACATGGCACCTTTGGCTACATGGTTATATTCAAATTGGTTGACTTGAATAGGCGGAACAACGAATTATTTCCAAGTCTGCAGCTGTCAATTTTTTTGGAAAAATGGATATTTACCACAAAGGTTGAAATTCCTTACCCAGTTTATTTAACAAAATGACATGAAAATCCCAAAATGTAATAATATACAGGGTATTCCTGTAAGCACCTACTTTCGGTATAACCGGCAGTGGTACCGACTTGAAAATATTTTAGATGAGTTAGCCCCAACCTGTATGTATAATATAATAAATATGCGTTCTGTAGAAATTTATAATTTTGAATTTTTTAAATTAAATTTCAAAACCCTGTAAATTCATAGGGAATCATTTTTGGGATATCATTTTGTAACGAAGGTTACTAAAATTTTCGTTCTTTCCGGTTAATTTAAAACCAACGCCAGGCAAATTTTCATTTTCAAGGGCCAATAAAAGCATATTTATTTGCCTGTTAGATTGTATTTGCGATTGTAGTAATTGAGGATCGTTTTTTTGAAACTCGATAAGTACATTTTTACCGAAATTGAGTTATGCATGTATTCTATATAAAAATTCAATGCCCGACCAGCTGGTAGCGTCAGATTCATAAAAACACGTTAAACAGTGTTTTGTGTTTTCTTTTTAAAATATTCATCAAATAACGGGAGAATATAGTAAAGACGTAAAACTCATGAAAAAGAGAAGAACAATTCGTATCTCTCAGGAAAATAGCATTCAAGTAAGACCACAGATTACGCGTTATAGAAAAGAGAGGTTAAGTGGGGAGAACTAACAATAAATGAGATGCTAGGTAAGTTAACTATTTTTCAATTTGAAGTAGAATGGAGATTTTTACAGACTTTATATGTTTTAGGAAAATGATATATGCAAATGACGAACCTAAGCGAAAAACTACAGATGAAACAGTTTTGAGGCGAAACAGAAAACTTTCGGTGAACTATTTAATTCGCGCCATTAGTGATGTCGTAATGGCATTTGATGTGTTGAGGTAGGTCAGGTTTTTAATCCAAACATTGAACTTTTTTCATGGGTATATTTGGATTTTCTGATTTTGTGTGCCTTTAACGTGGATGAGAACTGTGTACAGTCGATTTATTGGTGTGGTATATGGTTTGAAACATCTCAAATAGTTTAGGTAGAATCTTAAGCTTACCTTCTCGGAAATATATCGATTAGACTTTATCATTTTTATGTTATCTTCACAGCATCAAGAATATTTAGTGGTTCCGAACTGTAGAATTACATTTTTGGGCAAAAAGTAAGAGATACATAAACAAAAACTATATACAGGGTGATTCAAAATTAGCATAATTCCTTTTAAGGGGTGATGGAGGCTCACTTGGGGAGTACGAGAAAAATATTGAAAATTTTTTATTTGAAAATTTCTAGAAGATATTAACAGTTGAAGATCGAATTTCAACTTTGCTATTAAGCATTATTTTGAAATTATTTCATGTTTAATTGGTAGCATATTGGAATACTTAAGCATTCAAAAAGAAAAATTAGGATCTTTGTTTCAAATTATGAAAATTTTCTATATTAAAAAAGTTCTGTTCTACAATTTTTTGATGAAAAGGCACAGCGGCATTGATGTTTTTCGCCATTAACAGATAGTTACAGCTGGATAGCCCTTGTCAATAATAACAATAATCTGTCAAACTGTGACTTACTTTGATTATTCTTTCACGAACTTGCAGATCTGCGATTAGTTCAGGGAAAATGCTACAGTAACATAGCAGAAGCTGAAAGAACTCACGCAAACAAAGGGTGAGGAAAGTGGTTCCAGGAAGATAGTGCACGACAAACGATGTTCGGGTTCCAAGCACAGAGGAACAAGTATTGGACATAATCGAATCAGGGCCTTCCAGGGGCACTCAGAGCACAATAACTGACACTTTTCCAGGCACCAAATAAATACCGGCTACATTCCTACCACGTTTGTACGGTGCACACAGCACAAGGAGATACAAATGGAGCACGAGTTAGTTAACTGAATACGAGAAGCTGCTTGATAAGAGTGGATAATAAGGAGATTACACAGGCACTAGCTTGTTTGGAGTTAACCATTCAAATGTTTGGTGTTGTATGGATTATTTATGTAAACACCAAACCCCGCAGAATTCGAGATTATGAGAACAGGTTGACATTTTGAAATAGGTTCCGTCATTTAACGATTCCTGTTGAATTTACCGTTTATCCTTGTCTATCTTATTGTCACTCTCTATTTATCCATGGTTACAGGAATTTTAAATAATTACGAAGCAACAGGTATTTGCGCAATGTTAATTAGGCAGATTACCTTGAAAACCATTGCTGTCATATTTCTGATATAGTTTTTTGCAAATTGCTCAGTTGTTAATAACAATTAATTTCTTTTACTAGTTTTTCTGTACTCCTATAACACCGCCAGACAACACCCCCAGAGGAATGACGCCAATTTTGAATCACCCTGTATTTAAATAACACTCTAATATTGTATTGTTGTTAAGTTTAGAAGTAAAATTTAAACTCTGTAGCCCAATTCTCTTTCTATTGCGATGGAATTGCTGAACTTTAACCTAAAAATGATACAGTTAAATCGATATATACCCGAGAAGCTACGCTAAAGATACTGCCTAAACTATTTGAGATGGTACAAAACATATACCACACCAATACGTTTTCTTTACACGTAGATCAAACACGTTGGAGGCAAAATCGGAAAATCAAAAAATTCCGTTGAAAAAGGTTTAAAGTTTGGCTTCAAAACCCTGACCTATTGCAACAACGCCGGATGCTTTACAATAGATAAGACTGATGACGTCACCCTAATGGTGCGAATTAGAACTTCTAGAGGCAATATTCCTGTTTGTGCTGCCACATTTCAACATATACCAGATAACTGGTAATTCAAAATTGATCTTTATTTGTTGTTCCTCTGAACTCTGTCTCATGTTTTAGGTGCAGACTGTCGGGTATTTCAAACAAATTTATCGCCGTAGAACTATTAGTTGAAAAGCGGGGAGGTCGTGTACCGAGTCAGATTGATAAGGATATTTCTGACGCAATAAAGACACGCATAAGCAGCTACAAATGCAGAGAAAATCACTATTCGCGTGAAAAATGCAGAAGAACATACATTTAAACATACGTTAAACATAGTTAAACATACAGAAAATGTAGCAAATATTTTGTGATACAACAAACTTTAAATGTTCTTTGGCTAAATACAAGAAGATTTTTTATCAAAATTTTAACCTTGGGTTTGGAAATCCACAGTCAGATACATGTTTCATTTGTAAGGAGTTTCTGGTAAATATAAAAAATATCAAGATGTTGGAAAAACGTAATGAACTGCTCACCAAGTACAGACTTCATAGGATGAGAGCAGAGGCCTTTTTCAAATACATGAATACTCACAAAGAAAATACATTTAAAGTTTGTTTCAATCAGCCATTACCAAAAATGTCGGTTGGTGAAGTTTTTTACTCAAGGCAAGTTTGGATAACAACCTAGGCATTGTACATCACCAACAAAAAAAGGAATCAAGAGAAGATACAAACTTCTACGTTTGGTTAGCGACGCAGTCAGGTAGGGGCTGCAACGAAATAGCTTCTGGTCTGTTCCATTATCTAAGCAAGCTTAAAAACACATTGTTTGATGAAGGCAAGAATGAGTTGATCTTGGAGTTATTTTCAGACTTCGGCTCCTCTCCAAACAAGAACAGGATCATGATGACAGTCCTCATCTATTTTTTCGAAAAGTCTAGAGTTTTTAAAGAAATAAGAAATGTTTTTCCCATAAGAGGTCATAGTTTCATGCCTCCAGACAGGGTTTTTGGAAGAGTATAGAAAGAATATCGAAGACTAATCGAATAGAGAAGAAATTTTAATACCGCGGGAGTATTACGAGATTTTGAAAAACCATTGAACGGTCAATGTTTGGGGACAAGACTGGAATACGTTTGATTATAAGTCGGTATCGCAGAGCATTGTGAAGAAAAAGCAACCTTTCAAAATAAGCGAAGCTCGAGTCTTAACATACCAGAGAAGGAAAGGGACAGTTATTTGCAAAGTCCGCACTACATACAGGGTGATTCAAAATTGGCGTCATTCCTCTGGAGGTGTTGTCTGGCACTGTTAAAGAAGTACAGAAAAACTAGTAAAAGAAATTAATTGTTATTAAAAACTGAGAAATTTGCAAAAAACTATATCAGAAATACGGCAGCAATGTTTTTCAAGGTAAGCTGCCTAATTAACATTGCGCAATTACCTGTGGCTTCGTAATTATTGAACACTCCGGTAACCACGGAATTATACAGACTGACAATAAGATAGACAAGGATAAACGATAATTTCAACAGGAATCGTTGAATGACGGAACGAACTTTCGACATGTCAACCTGTTCTCATAACCTCGAATTCTGCGGGGTTTGGTGTTTACAAGTAATCCATACAACGCCAAACATTTGAATGGTTAACTCCAAACAAGCTAGTGCCTGTAATCTTCCTTATTATCCACTCTTATCAAGCAGCTTCTTGTATTCACTTAATTAACTCCTGCTCCATTTGTATCTCCTTGTGCTGTGTGTTTCGTACAAACGTGATAGGAATGAAGCTGATATTTATTTGGTTCCTGGAAAAGTGTCAGTTATTGTGCAATGTTCTGAGTGCCCCTGAAAAGGCTCTTCTGCAATAATGTCCAATACTTGTTCCTCTGTGCCTGGAACCCGAACATCGATTGTCGTCCACTATCTTCCTGGAACCACTCTCCTCGCCCTTGGTTAGCGTGAGTTTTTTCAGCTTCTGATATGTTACTGTAGCATTTCCCCTAAACTAATCGCAGATACGCAAATTCGTGAAAGGAAATTCAAAGTAAGTCACAGTTTGACAAATTATTGTTATTATTGACAAGGGCTATCCACCTGTAACTGTCTGTTAATGGCAAAAAATATCATTGCCGCTTTGAATTTCCATCAAAAAATTGTAGAACAGAACTTTTTCAATATCGAAAATGTTTGCAATTTGGAGCAACAATCGTAATTTTTCTTTTTGAATGCTTAAGTATTCCAATATGCTACCAATTAAACATGGAACAATTTCAAAATAATGCTTAATAGCAAAGATAAAATTCGATTTTCAACTGTTAATGTTCTAGAAATTTTCAAAATTTTTTTTAAAAATATTTTTCTCGTACTTCCCAAGTGAGCCTCCATCACCCCTTAAAAGGAATGACGCCAATTTTGAATCACCATGTATACTGGTTATGACATAGAAGTTAGTAGTTTCAAAAAAGGTGTAAAAAACGCTAATCGGAGATCAGAAGCTCAAAAGCTTCCAGCAATGAATCATGTTAGTGACCTCAAGAAAAGTGACGTTAAAAAGCTCTTACGTGGCATGCATCTTCCGGATGAAATTACTATTTTTTATGATGAAGTTATGAAAGAACCTGCCCTTACTGTTGACAATAATGCTGATGAGGCAGGGCAGGACGATGATTCCGAAGTGGATGTTTGAAATATACTAATCTTTTTATCTAAAAATATTATTTTCTCTTAGGACATAAAAGTTTAAATTAGTTTTCGTTATCATAATATGTACTTATCGAGTTTTCAAAAAACTGCATATTTGTTTATTTTTTGTTTATGTATAATAACATTGATATTACATTTTGTTTTTTTACTAATCTGTTTGCATTTATTACTACATTATTAATTAAATATCTAAATTGGTCATTACGTAATATTGTTTTAGTCAGATTAAAAAAATGCTCTCCTGAAAATTCATCATTTTGTTCTTATCGAGTTTAAAAAAAACGGTCCTCAATTGCTGAATTCTATGCCGGATTCCGCGAACGATTTCATCAAAGGTCGACCAAAGGTGCTTTCTGTCCGGCAAATTTCAGTCAAAAATATGTAAATGTTTATTTTTGAGGGCCGCCACCCATTTTGAAAGCCGTCACGTGCACCAACCACCCCGTTACGCGCCTCTTCTCCTCTGTTTCCGATAAGCTTAATTCTGTAACCATTAAATTTATTCAATAATTTTAATATCATTCGCAAATATCATCTTATTTTGTTAAATATAAATCGCCAGTCCGGATAAATATGTATCGCAATAAATTCCAAAACGCCTAAACATTATCCCCAAAACGCCCGTTATCTTGTCGGCAAATTGTAGGCAACAGCCATTTACCTGTTTTTAAGGCTAGATTATTTTATTATTAAGCCGTAATGTTCCCGTTTAAGGGCGTTGTTCATTTGCTTATTTTGTCCATGCATTTTCGAATCTGTTAATGGATAAATCTTTTATCGTTTAACTGTGTTTAATTCTGCCTACTGCGTATTGACCTTTGGGTTTTTCCTTTCTCCACTGTATAAAAGCTATCCTCGCTGTGGGGCCAACACCACGTAAATCTTGATGGCTGGCGTCCGAGATTTCCGAAAGTCCGTTCAAGTCCGAACATGCTAGACTACCAGCATTAAACCATAAATTTAAAAGGTAAATTCACGGAACAACGTTTTTCTCCGATTCTCCAGACCCCATTACAAAAATGGCGCCCGAGCAGGAACGTCTCTACTGTTCTTCTTCAAGTTTTCCCGTATCTTCCGTTCTTCTGTTCTTTTCTTTTTTCTTTTTATTTATTTATTATTTATTTCAAAATTTTAGAATAAAAACATTCGTTTTACAATAATTATACCTCGAATATAAAGTAGATATTAAATATCTCACCTGCAAAACTAGGAAGATAACTATAAAGAGAATTATTATACATAGGCAAGCTATTATAGCCAATCCAGTGATGAAGTTAAATGGATTGACAAATTGAAGACTTGAAACGGGCTGAGCTGAGAGCAGTAGAGCTTCCACATTGATCTTCCTTTTATCTTCTTGCAATTTGCATTCTGAAACAATCATATTTGAAATATTTGCAAATCAAATTGTACATAAATTGTATTTTTTTGCTCTCTCTTAGGCCTTGTGAATATACTAACCTGGACAATTAACGCATGAATAGTGGCACTTTTGACAACCATATACCGATTTAAAGAAATTAACTGGACAATCCGGTCTGCATTCCCCATTTAAGAGCAGCCACGAATCAGGACATTCCACGCATTGGTTAGGTCCAGGTCCACTGCATGTTTTACAGCTCATATAGCATCTCAAACACAGTCCCATATCGCTGTAGTAGCCCGTAGCACAGGTTGTATGGCATTCTCCGTTTTGCAACTGAATAAACAAACATTTTAGTACCAAAACTACTTTTTTCCAGCAGTTTTGTCACCTGTAGTTCACTAACGCACTCCGTGCAGTTCATTTTTGCTACACATTTAGCACATGTATGCAAGCATGGTTCGCAAATTTGGCCATCTTTTTCGTGATAGTAGGCATCATCACATCTTCCAACACACTTGGTGCCTTGTAAAATGAGGGGGCTTGCACAAGACAAACATGCTCGTTCTGTTGGACCGTCGCAAGAATCGCAAGTCGAGTGGCATTGCTTGCACATGCCGTTGTCATAATATTGATCTGAAAAAGTTACTGATTATGTAAAATAGATAGTTTTTCCGTTTGAGGAGAGCAAGTAGGTCAGGCAAACATTTATTTTAGGTTTTATTAGTCTGATTAAGCAACTTTTATTTGAACGCGGTGTTTTTCTTGGTCCGTCGTTTCTGATATATTTTAGCCATCATCAGGTCTATGGAAGGGAACGGAGTGCCTGTAGATTTAGGCGTGTTAGCATCATATTAAATAGTTATTAATAAAAACAGAATAAAATAATGACATTATTTCACATATACAGCGAATTTGATTTTGACTTGAGGATGAAACAAACCCTTTATTCAATTCTATCAATTTTTAAAAAGATCTTATTTTTATTTATTAGGACATTAAAAGATTTATTTTTACTTCGGAACGGAATTGCAAATATACTTATTATCCCGACTTTTTAATCCAGATTCAGGTTCAAAATTGAATTCAAAGTATTTTTGTATAATACGCTATGTGGCTAAATTCACTTGTTTTGTACAGGGATAGTTTATTTGAAATAAATTGTGAAAGTTAATTTCAATCAAATTTTTTAAATCTGAATCTAGAATAAAAATAGAAAACACGAAAATGTGCCGTTTTTTCCCTATTATGTTTTAAAAAATTTAAATACCAGCAAGAAATAAAATGAAATCAAACAAAAAACGATAGAAGGAGAAAATAAGGAAATTTATTGCTAAAATAAATTTCAAAATAAATAAATAAAAACACAATCATTAAAAGCACTGATTTTGTATATGATCTCCGTTTAACACTAAATATATGCTCTATAATCTACTTCAATTTTATTTACAACGTTTTGAATATATTGGTTATGATTAATATTAATATCGTTAATTGAATCCATCATTTTAAGGCGTCTAGAATCTCATGCACAATATTCTTTAAATAACCCCAGAGAAAAGAATTAAGAGGCGTTAGAACGGGGCTATTTGGACGTCATTGGTTAGGACCCGCTCGTCCAATCCACATATCAACTTAAAAAAAGTGCTACCGGGCGAACGTTATAGGGTGGGCTCCCTCCACCCGATTCGTCGAATTTCAAGGCTACTTTGATTTGTTGCTATTTATAATTTTTAAAATGTAATATATGAAAAACGGCTAATACAAATATAGGAAAAATATATAGTTTTGAAATCAGGAGGAAAAATCCTATTGGTGCCTCTAAAAATATATAGGGTTCATAAAAAATCGACTTTATGTCAAATTTTGACATTTCCGTGTTCTATATTTTTGCTTTAAATTCTGATTTAAAAAATCTGAGCACAATTAAACAATTTTCTGGTGGTCAGTTTCACAATTTTTTTGAAATAAACTATCTAGGGGGGTATCAACTTATGGAGAACCGCTCTATACATAATGGTGTGTAAACATAAGTAAAATGTAGCAACATAAGTAAGTATAAGTAAAATGTATTAAATTTTATCAAGAGTTCAGGGTTCACTTTTTTACATTATAATCCCCCCACTTTTCCGGTAATGTGCGTAATTTTTTATATCGATCATACCCTCATAGATGGACAGGAAGGGGCGTGCATATTAATTGGTCAATCTGATCACTTGAAATCACTCCTTGTGACTTTTGTTTCTTTGAAGATGAGTCAAAGTAGCTCAAAGTAGAAAAGTGTAGCTTGCCAAATTTACGTTTTGTATGGAAAAGTTTATTTGTTGGGATGTTACGGTCAAAGATTCTCATTTGTTCTCAAAATAACTCAATGAATAATCGAAATTTAAAGAAATAACTATAAAAACAACCTTTTGGTAAAATTTTTAAAAACTTTATACATAATGTAACCAAATTAAAACATCAACCCTTCTTCTTGTTAAAGAACAAGGTTTTAACTTTGCTACTAGCAAGCGCATCCAAGACCGGTTTCGAGCTTTTTGGTTCTCAGCTGCATTAAATCATACACTACTAAGTAAGTATAGATAGTGCGATTCATTTATAGAACTCGGAAAATACCATTATGGTATATTGCCTCTGCAGATTAAATTGATAGGAAGCCAAAAACTTTTTTCCCTACGGAAAATTAATACTTATTCTTCTGTTACGATGTGTCAACCAAATAAATTTTTGTATGTACACAAGACTTTTAGAACAAATACAATCAAAAATTCTTTAATAAGAATAGCATAATGTGCAAGTGACAGAAACCTAGAATGTAATAAATTAATTTAAGCATGGGCCTACATAATTATTATCAAATTTTCATTATATTTTCAAACTATTTCACGTGTTTTGCGGTAACAAAATATAAAATTTTGTAAAAAGCAATACTTGATTGAATCCCTAAACAATAAAATATGAAGTTTTAGAAATCACCTAATGCTTTCTGAAAACATCCAAAAAGTAGATAAATTAAAATGTGAATTGTTAAACTGTGAGATCTCCTTGTGGAAAATGGCTTCAAATAGACGGCCAACTAGATTACTGATAAAATGTTAATTATTGTATTCAGAAGAATGTAGAATATGGCATTACTACAAATAGATAAAACTTAAGAAGTTTAACATTTAAACATTTGAAAAGAAAAATTTAGTAAACACACTACATTTATCTGCATTATAAATATTTCAAAATTACTAATTTTGTTTGTTTTCCTTCGCTGTGTGAAAGTCTGTGGATTAAAAAAATGACTACTAGTAAAACCTTATACTTTATGTATAGACCTTAAATACAAAATTTAGGCACCTACTCACCCACATCACATTTATCACTAGTCTGTGTTTGACATCTGCCTTTAATGTTAACTTTCCAATCGTCCAAGCAGGAGATGCAAGTTGAGGCGTTGCATTCACTACAACCTGGTGGGCATTCTATACACTCCCGTTGATTGTAGTCGGCAAAGTGATGAGCTGGACACTCCCCGATACAGCGGCCTTCATACCAAAATCTGCCCGATGGACATCGGATACATTGCGAGCTATTGGAACCGGTACATGTTTCACAAGATTCGTGGCATGGAGCACATCTGAACAATTGGAAATCAGAAAATAAGAGATAGGATTGAAAATTGACCTTTAAAATTCTCACCTATAGTCATCAGTCTCAAACGTGTTCGTAGGGCAGGAGGCTAAGCATTTGTTTTGATAGAGCAAAAGATGATGATCACAACTAGTGCAGTGATCTGGACGGTCTTGGCAACCAGCGCAATTCGGCTGACATGGAATGCACGTTCGGTCAGCAAAATCTACGCCATTCAAAATTTTATTTCCATTTCCAATGGATTTCCAGTATTAAAACTTACGTTCGAAGTACCCCTCAGGACATTGCTGAAGGCAAATATCTAAATCCACCACCCGAACATGACCAGGCGCACACGCTAAGCAACTCTTTTGATCCGGACCTGTGCAGGTCTCACATGCTTCATGGCATGGTTTGCATTCTCCTTGTTCACTGTAGCTTCTAGGCGGACATGTGCTCACACAATTCCTATCGGAATAGCATGAAGTGAACGACACTAGCCCTTGATTTCAAATTAATTAATAACCTACCTATCCATGCGTTTATATCGGCAAGCTATACACTTCGTAGGCCCCTTTCCAAAACAGCCCTGATCGTCACATTGATCATCACATCCAATTTTGGTTTCCTCATCAAAATTCAAATCGTTTTGATTATTTTCTCTCACCTTGGTGTTTTTCTCGTCTAAAGAACTGAACGCTGGTTCTGGGTCTGACCCAGCGAACGAATAAATGTGTGGGAAACTGTTGAATACCTCCGATGGATCAAAAAAGTTATCGGTTACTGGCGTCACTGGCTGGGGCTGAGTTGGAAATGTGAAAGTGTTTGAGGGGGATTTCCAAGGAGATGATCGAATGCCATTGGCCGAGCGTAAGCGAACAGGATTGACGTTAGTCCCTACAAAATAGAAATGTTGATGTTAGTTGATGCCAAATTAATTAATTTATTTATATAGACAATTTGATTGCAAACAAAGTTCCACATGCGAGTAAAACCATCTCAATAATGCTCGCCGAATCTCAAGCGATATTAGAGAAATATAATCATTATGATAAAACCTCCTTAAATGAATTACGGTCTAGCCGCTTGGTGGGAAGGAATTTACCCTCGCTCAGTCTCTTGGCACTAGTGCACCGCAGCCTGTAGGTGAAGCTTTTAACATTTTTTCAGTTAATTTCACTTAGGAAATGCGGTATGAGAAATGTTAGGTATACATTTTGTGAATATTTGTATGTGTAACTTCTACATTTTTAAAGATAGAGAATCGGTTAAATGGGTAAAATCGGGCAGAAACCTATTGCCTACTCATTACCGTTTTCAAAATCTAAATACTTAATTTTCCAAACGCTTAGTTGATACAGATAATAAGAAATCTTAATAAGCCAAAAATTGCTTTTACTCCAAGAAGATAAATATAATACTATCGACTGCGCCACTTTTATTACGGAATTTGAAAGTTTGCAAAAATGGTTATTCCGAGATATGATTATTTATTCGGTTACAAAGCGAGAGCCACTATTGACCTAATTACAAGGCTGTCATATGCTATTTTATTCGGCTGATCTCCTCTTACGCGATTCATACATGTTAATCAACCGAGGTACTATACAGGGTGGCCATTTTCTGAATCTTTGTAAGGGTAACTTCTACATTTTTAAAGATAGAGAATCCGTTGGATTGGCAAAATTGGCCAGAATTCGATTGCCGATTCATTACGGATTTCAAAATTTAGGTACCCGACTTAATTCCTGAAATATCCTGAAAAGACTATAGTTGTCGTTGTTATAGTCAACATGATTTACAAGATAAAAAATAAACTTATATTTTTTTAAATGGTAATCATAGTTGACTGTGGGCCTTTTAAAATCCTTATTTTTTTCTGAATTTAACGATATAACTGTTTGTATGTTAATCTCTTCTTTTAACCGTAAAAATTCCAAAGAAAAACAGTAACAAGCATCTAGCAGTATTGTCACGAAATAGTTACTGTGTCTGTCATTAAAAGTGTCAGATAAATTTTACTTTTTATAGTAGTTTGAGTTAATCAATCTCATTGGATAAAAGTATTATTGTTGCTAAGTAAATACGGTGGATTTTGAAAAAGAAGACGGGAAAATGTATTCTAATAAAGAAAAGAATGACATGCTGTTCTGCTACTATACCTGTAATAAAAATCGTAATATGGCTAGCAATCTATATTTGGACCAATCCATGGAGAGGAGACAGCCAGACAAACAACTTTTTTCACGACTGGAAGTCAACTTGAAAATATACGGATCATTTAAAAAGCGAACCAACGGGAAGATTAAATTTCAAGAACAAGATGAAGAAAGAGTTTTAGCTTATACCCATTTTAATCCAAATTCATCAATCAGTGAGACTGCCAGCGAATGCAATGTTTCTAAGGAAAAAGCGATATATATATTTTTTTGAGGTACTCACGTTTGGAATGGGGGAATCGAAATTGACGATATTTCAGTAAATGGGAGCCCCCTTTGCGCCCCATTTACTGTCAAATATGACACTGACAAGCGGGAAATTTCGCACCTGGGCTGGAGATTTCGAGAACCATGTAGGTTACCTGGATGAAACTATATAAGCGACGACGAGAACCAGACGGGGGGAGTGAAGTGACAGCAGTGACCGGGTGCAGAAGAGGTTAAACCCCGCGAGTCGGAAGACCGAGTTTTCCGTTTGTTATTGTTATTGTTTGTGAAGTTAACGGTAGTTTTGAAGTTAGTTTGTTCCTGTTCCGTATTTAAAGTTATACCGAGCTGAATAAAAGTTGGAAGCTGAAGAAAGAGTTTGATACCCGACCATCCACAGTACAATATTTACACTTTTTTCAAAATGAACTTGAAGACATGTTGAATAGTTTCCCGTTAGCAGCGTATCGAAAATTGGAATATTTTCAACATGATGGTACACCACCACACAACTCACGAGTTGTATGTGACTATTTACAAAAACATTTTCGTGGTTGCATTGCCAATGCAAGACCCATTCGGTGGCCAGCACGTTCACCGGACTTAACACATCTGGACTATTCTCTGTGGGATACCCTTAAAACCAAGATCTACTACTACTAGACAAAACCCAATGATATTGAAGCACTAGTATATAGAATACGTACAGCAATAAGAAGTATTTTTCTACAAACCATAAGAAAGGTGTCATTGGAAGTTGCCAAAAGTGCCTGGACGTAAACGGAAGTCATTTCTAACATTTAATTTGAACAATTCTTTCTTTCATTTTTATTTTGTGCTTTGTGTGATAATATAGTTCTTGTTTCCAGAGCCTACTACACATTTTTTACGTTCTTTTGAAGTTTTACGGCAACAATAGAAGAAACATATACAAACAATTATATCGTTAAATTTAGAAAAAAATAAGGATTTTACAAAGCCCACAGCCAACTATGATTCCATGAAAAAAAACACAAGTTTATTTTTTATCTCGTAAATCAAGTTGCCTATGACAACGAGTGCTAGTTTACTGTCTTCAACGAAAAAGTTCTACCAAGGTCAATTTTAACTTTTTTCTAAGTTAAGCAGTTTACGTAATATGTGATAATTAAAAAAGTGTTGATTTCTTGTCTTTTCAGGATATTTCAGGAACCAAGTCGGGTACCTAAATTTTGAAATCCGTAATGAATCGGCAATCGAATTCTGCCCAATTTTGCCAATTCAACGGATTCTCTATCTTTAAAAATGTAAAAGTTGCCCTTACAAAGATTCAGAAAATGGCCACCCTGTATAGTACCTCGGTTGTAATTAGGTCAATAGTGGCTCTCGCTTTGTAACCGAATAAATAATCATATCTCGGAATAACCATTTTTGCAAACTTTCAAATTCCGTAATAAAAGTGGCGCAGTCGATAGTATTATATTTATCTTCTTGGAGTAAAAGCAATTTTTGGCTTATTAAGATTTCTTATTATCTGTATCAACTAAGCGTTTGGAAAATTGAGTTTTGACCTAATGCATAAATTTTCAATTCTGGTCGTTTGTAAGGGTATTCGCTAACAATACTTCCATACTTCATCTTGACCTTTTATTTGGACCTTCAAACTTGATACCACCCTCATTTATATCACTATGTTAACTAACAGAATCACTGTACTTCCGTTCCTCAGTGTGGTTTCATATACTTGCTGAGAAGTGAAACTACACTGACCAGTCTAAGAGTTTTACGTCTTGCTGACATGGGTTTACTGCGTCTGCTCAGAAACGGTTGTGGACCAAATGTGAGAAAACCTAGCGTTTTTGTAAGTGTGGTTGACCATCAATTTCTTATGAAACATTTTTTTTTCTCTCACTGAGTGCAAGATGATACAAAAACTAGTCACAGAGACGAGTAACAATCTGTTTTGTTTTGGCACTAAGATATTACAATGATTAAAAATCTAAGCTTTCTATGGTTTCTTAGTTGTTTGGCAGCTTGATAAGCTTGAATGGTTTGGTACGATCAAGTCTTCTTGTCAAGTTTTCCACATCGAGGAGCCTGGACCCTTCTTCGTTGATGTGACGCTGAAGGCGACTTTCGTGTGAAACAGCACATCTTTGTATAACTGACGCAACCGTTTCTACGCTGAGTTCTTGATGTAAGTCGCAATTCCGTAGATACCAAGGCGCATTAGTTATATGCCTTAGTACTTTGTTCTGGAATCTTTGGACTATCTCGACATTAGATTTTTTGGCGCAGCCCCACAATTGACTGCCATAAGTCCATATTGGTCGCAGCACTTGCTTGTACATTAACAGCTTGTTATTGATTGTTAGTTCGGATCGTCTTCCAAGTAGCCAGTATAGTTTCCGGAACTTGATGTTTAGCTCATCTTGCTTCTTTTTGATGTGGGCCTTCCATCGGAGTTTGGCATCAAGAGTCA